CTACCACGAATAAAACTAAGCGGAAACGCGCGTTTCCCTTGGTTTTACCATTGTCACTGTCGTTGTGCCGGGCACGTTGGATTATCGCTTGCAGAAACTGTGGCAATGGGTTGAATGAGTTTGTTAACCATTGATAAGAAGTTAAGTATGTACAGGGTGTTGCAGATACATACTAGGCAGTATGACGGGTTGCGTGGCAAACTTTGCATGAGCAGACGCGGTTTTATAGACAATGACAGTGACTTTATAACATAAACTGTATAATATAAATAATAAAACTTTGTAGTATAAACTTTATAATGTATAAAGTTACTGTCATTGCCTATTAAACCACGCTTGGCCATACAAAGTTTGCCACGCAACCCGTCGTACTGCCTAGTATGTATCTGCAACACCCTGTACAATAATAGCAACTTATATAAATTACACAAAGAATGTTGCGTTTGATCAAACTTATTCTAAAAGAAACTCCGTTTCTAAATTAATTAAGAAAACTCTCAAAGAGAGATTTCTAGTTTTTGAATTAAATTGAATTATAAATTGAAAGAGCTTCTCGAATTTTTTGTTAATGAATAATCAAGTAAGAAATATTACGTTTTTTTATAAATTAATATTACGTCATTTCTCATAGCAATTTTTTAAATCATCCCTTTTCATTAATTATCCCTTTTAATATTATTTGGAAAATATTTTTTCGATATTCTCTGAAAAAGGATGATTTAAAAAATTGCTATGAGAAATGGTGATATGAGATATTTCTTATTTGATTGTCCATTAACGAAAAATTCAAAAAGCTCTTTTAATTTATGATTCAATTTAATTTCAGTTTTAATTAGAACTTATATATATATATATATATATATATATATAATCTTTAGAAGAACATTTCTCAAACGGAATTTCTTTTAGAATAAATTTAATCAAATTCTTCGTATAATTCATAAATTTTCATCATTAAATTATCTTGGTTGCATGAAAAACTTTAATTAAAAATAAAATGTAAAACGAAATTTCTTTGAAAATAAAGTGCTCTTAAAATTATCTAGAGTAATGTTTGTACTTGCTGAATTCCTAATATCTCCTGAAATTCATAATAATTTTCATTGAATTGCTATTAAATTGGTTAACCGTTCTTAATTAAATATATTTTTGTATGTCTTGTTTTATCGTACGTGAGATGCTTCAAATTTCATTATAATACGAATGAGTTTCATATAATTCTGTAATTAAACGCAAAAGTGGAAAGTTTAAACGGGTATGTGCAACTTACAACACTGCAGTGAGATACAGATAATAAAACGCTAAAATTTTACTAGCATTTTACACAATCTCCTGAAATCGTGAGGAACATTTCGAAAAGTACGGATTTACACGATAGCGTCGTTTAAGGAGATACTTTTATTTAACGAGATATAAGATTTCGTCGTTATATAAATCTGTACTGTTACAACGCATATACCTATGTGATCCGCCGATTTTCTTCGAGACTAACTTTTAAGCTCGCGTAAGCTGCAGTATATACTTTCCTCAAAGGAGAATCGTAAAAAAGCAGAACTTCTATACTTTCGAAATCCCTGTTGCGTTATTGTCAACGAGTGAGTAGAATACATGGACTTACTATTTCCTAATCCAAAACTCGATATCCTTTTGTAGCGTGACTTGCGTCAAATATCTTCGTGGAAAATTACTCAGGATTAAAATTTCATCTTTAGGAGTGCACTTCTTAATTTGGAAAAGAAATTTCTTTCAGTATAAATTCGATTGAACACAATTCGTTGCGCAATTTATACAAATTTTTATTATTAAATATCTTGGCTGCTTATAAAACTTAATGAAGATAAAACTTAAAAGTAAATTTCTTTGAAAATAAAGTGCTTTTAAAATTATTCAGAAGAACGTTCCGCTAGTCATTATCATCTTTAAAGCTTAATTCATTAAATATTATTTAATTCTCAAAGTTGTAAAACTTCGTAATATAATATATACTTCGGCCTAAATTTCTGCGAAGAAGCGCTCCAACTTCATCAAGAAATTATCTTCTGAAACTTTGTTCTTCACCAAACATTCTATAGATCAGACAGTAAAATAACGGTGAATTATTTGCTGCTAATCCTAAAAGACAGACAGTTTATTGGACTAGACTTTTTTTCTTATACTGTCTTATAGGGACAAACGATTTTAATAATAATAATATTACGGGAGTCTTTCGCACGACATTCGATGCTTTCCTTTTTCTTTCTACTTTAACCCCAACTTACATCCATGACCATCTTTCTTCCCAACAGCACTGCCGGCTGTAATTTGTGGAGGACAAGAACTTCCCAGAGAGGCATTGAACAACTTTTATAATGTTTTTTTGCGCGCCATAAACCGACGTGATCTTAACTTTTTCTCATATTACCGTTTTTCTGAAGGTTATAATATGAGTACGCAAAAAGATAAACAGTTATCCTTCGCGATTTTGCTATTTGTGTCATTTGTTATATGTTACCCTAAACAACTAAGGATACTTTATAAGACTTATTTATTAAATTTTTAATTTTAAAACAGGGAAAGTAAAACAAAGATCAACATTTTTTTCACATTTTTCATAATCGTCTAGATAATCGATTAATCTTCCGTGCAATTGAATTTGAGTCTTTTTTGATACAAGCAAAATCTCACTTTGCTCAAATTTCAATTTTTATTAAATAAACGTTTTAATAAAATGTTAGTTAAAAAAGTATTTGTTAATGTAATAGAAATTCTGGAAAAAATAATCTGGACTTTTTCTACATTTTTTAAAAGCCTAAAAAAAAGTAAAATAACTTGGGCTGGAAAAAAATCAGGTTGCAGACGAAGGAAATAAAAATATGAATACAGATGAAAGATTAAATACTTTGTATACAGCTAAAAATTTTGGTAAAATCTAAATCGTGTTTTAATTTAATTTTCCAATATACAATACATGATAATTTCCCAAATTTAGTCACGAGTGTCAGAACATTTTTCAGTATTTTCGCCGGCAACTTTATCTAAAGGAAAACGCTATTGGCGACAAAAGGACTGCTACATCCTGCACCGGAGAAACGACGGCCGGGGCAAAAAGACGGAAATCGATTAGCCCTAAACGTGGTCGCGCGACTTCGTCCTTCCTCCAATCTCCGAATCGAATCATGCGCCATGCTTGAACGAACTTACGGCACAGGCGATATAAAATAACGCCCGAAGGGGAAAAATGATCCTACACCGCAGCCACAGCCGCGACAGCTAATTGCATTCGTTAAAGGGGTCCGCCCAGACCGCGTTAGTACTTTCTTCGCCGAGCGGTGTACTCTCTTTCTCTCGGACCACTCGTCGCCTTTTGCTTCCTTTTTTCTTCCATCTCCAGACTACGTACTGCGCTCTCCGCCGGCCTTTTCCTTCTCCGTTCGGCCACTCGTCGCAATTTGCGGAATCCAGCGCAACGGCGAGAGAACTTCCTGAAGAGGTGTTGCGAAAGTTTCGGATCAAATGAATGAAAAACGGCGGAGAAGAAGAGAGAAAACGCCTAGAGAACAGTGGTGGATTATCGCACAAGGGTATCAATTCGCAAGTCTCTCTCTTGAAATTTCAAGGCTTGAAATACGAATTTCTATTTCATGAAAATTGGATAATCAAATATAGGTGTTGTAACGTCAAAAATATTGATATGTAACATTTATAGGATGATGTTCAACATTTTTCACAAGATCTTTTATTTTCGATCTGGTACTTTGCAGACTGCAGAGAATCTCCAAGTACTTCAATCCACCGCTGGAAGAGGGAAGGGCGAATCGAAGGGGAGAATCGAGGGGTCATACACAAGTATGGCACGTTGTGTGGGCGTTTTCGTTGCGTTTTATTGATCCGATACAGTCGTAAATGGTACAATCGGCAAATTCATCGGCGGTACAATCGATATAGTTATATGTTATATATACACTTATGTACATAGCGCCAAAAGGCGTGCGCGCTCGCAGAAACGATACCCGGCGCAGAATAATGCTTCCGAATTATCGTTACATCGGAATATAACGGCGAGATCGAGCGCGAGGACCAAACGTCCTGTGACTCCTGACCGTCGAGAGATACAAAGTCGTAAAAAAGAATCAGCGGGGATAAGAAAGGGGAAAGGAAAAAATGACGCGAGTAAGGTGGGGCGAAAAGAGATGTGTCGAATGGGTCTCTAGAAGACTAGAAAACGTATACTCATTATTGTACACTAAAGCCGTGGCAGCATTGTTTTATATCTTATTTATCTATACGCTTTAACCCTCCGCGAACTAGGTGGGGTGTGACATACCCCAGCAAGATAAACTTCTGTAACTTGTTAAAAAGTGCAAGTTGCCGTTTCGTACAGCTGAAGAATGCGTCGTTACCAATCATACTAGATTAATATATTTATGATAAAGTATAGCATGGGGTGTGAGATACCCCACACATGATCCATGTTGATTTTCTACCTAGTTCGCGGAGAGTTAATGGAGCTTAACGCCTACAACGCGATTACACTTATACGTGTGTGTCGATATGGATAATGGGTGGACGATCGAGCGATCTGTCGATCGCTTCAAACAGAATGAAGAATCTGTCCATGTCAGCGTATTCTAACATGAGATTTCGATTCTCCGTCCTGTAGAATAATTATCGGCCTTTAACCGTGGTCGATCCTTCCTCTCCTCATCGTCGATCACGCCTCGTCAGCGTTCGATTTGAAGCTCGACGCTCGCGGTCATTAACTGTCTCAGCACCGAACTGAATTCAATTGCTAAATCCTGTTTCGATCAATTTCATTCGGTTAGAAAAAGTGCATCTCATTATTTTCTAATTGTGAGAGATAAATCGTCTAATGTTAGTAATATATAATTTTTTGTGTATTTATTGTGAAAAAAATATATTTTTTGAAATGATTTATATCTTCACTATTTTCTTCTAATTTCTATGGCAAAAATTATTTTTGCAATAAAAAATTGTTAAATCATCACGTATATGTAGAAATATAAAAATTCTGAGAAATTTTCTGTTTAGTTTCGTGGTAAGCGAAGCTCTGCATTCTTTAATAAATCGTTGAAGATGAGCGCATGTTGTATAACGGCAGGTGCTAAAAGAGTTAATTACATTACACGATTGATAAAACTGCGGCAAATGCCGCCCGGTGGGACTGATCATCGACTTTCTTTACTGGCTATCCGGAGTACGCTGCAGGAAAGGCTACTCGAGGCCCTCCTCGATATTGTATGTCCTTCTTCGCGCACCTCGGCTCTACTCTTTCTAGAGTAAGAAGTTACCAAGAACCAATGCCCCGTCGAGGATGTTGAGAAAGGTTGCTATCGGACGAGACTCTATTTCTCGCTCGTACATCTCTCTTTATCGAGCGGTGAATTTCGCAAGAGACTTCTCTCTATTCCTCGGCTGTCTCGATGCGATCTCTCGAACCAATCGATTGATCGTTTCTACTCGGACACGGTCTTCGATAAGTTTGTCGTCGACGATACTTGGCTATTTGCTAATGGACGTCTCCTTGCTTCCGAGGGCCAGTCGTTCCACCTTCGGTTAAGTGTCCGATAATTTCTCCCACGTCTCTTTCTGGATCACAGTATTGACTATAGTGTGAACAGGGAACTCGAGTTAATTGACCGAAGATCGGACGTACCGGTCCTCAGAAGTGCGTTTTAAGTCTTCGTCGAGGTAATTATTTGAGAAACGAATTGAGGAAGCGTGTAGGAAAAAATATTTTCTTTTCTCCGCTTTTAATATAGAGTGCGGTATAAATAGAAAATGGACTGATTTCCAGCGGAGGAAACTTTTATCTTAGCTTTCGTGGCTTCCTAACGGGAGAACATTATTTATAGATCGCGTGACGTGTGCGTGAATTATGTCAGTCTCGTTAATTCTTCGGGATGAAGTAGCTTTTCACTCTTCGAGTGATCTTACTTCTCTATTTCGAAACGTATGCGCTTCGATTGATATTATTGGTGATTCCATTTAATACGATTATCGTATGGATGAAATAGGAAAGTACAAATTCCGATTTCCTAACTAAAATCTGAATTCTAAGTTTCAGTTCCCCAAACAAAGCGGATCCAAAAGGGTCCACGGTTAGTGCCTCCCTCGGAAACCTTCTCGCCAAAGTTTCTGGACCTGTTGAATCGTTATTTCTCGTGGAGTCCGCTTATATTCAGACAAATAGCGCGAGGCGAATTTTGTCCGGATTAACATCCCCAGGGACTATATATTTTTCAATTACAAATAAAAAACCATTCTTATTTATAGTATACCAAATTTAGAACACAACATATGTGCTACGATTGCGAAATTGGAAAACACTCCGCTAAATATTACTTCTAAATAAATATTATAATTACTCTAAATAAATAAAATATTCAGACAAAATACGTAAAACGTATATTGCGTTCCTGAATCCCTAAGGAGATTAAACCGCTCTCATTTCGCTGCACAACTGCGAAAGGACTAAAGCATCCTCATTAATATTATATCTCAGAGCGAGAGCAATTTCAGATGCTTTCTCGTATATACGTTATTTCGTAACGCTTTGTGCCAAGTAGATTCATAGAAAATGTACTACGATCGCTCTAAATTCATATTTAAAAGATCTACCGATTAGTTAACGTCAACCGGGCTCTCCTCGATAATCTTCTCCAGCAGCTGACCCGACTCAAAGTCTCTGCACCTGTCTGTGACGTACGTCGTTGGGCCTAAAGGCGAACCGATCTCCTGCGGCAGACCTTTCTTAAGGACGTTAAGGTACCCCTAGCTCTGAACCATATCGCTAATGTACTCCTCGTGAAGTGCAAGGAGATGACGCGGCACATCGAGAGCGGTGTGGAGGGTTACGGTTACGCCGCGATTCAGACTGATTGCCGGGTAAAAGACGCCGTAGAGATCGCGGAAGGCGATGCCGCCCTGCGGCTGGTCGTTGACGAAGAAGCGTAGCGTATGCGTGGTGTCCAGGTCGAGGAGAACGCCGACAGTCGAGCCTTGCTGAACGCCACCCTCCGTACGCTGTGCGTGACCACCGCCGTGCATGAACCACGACCGCTGGCGGTCTATGTACATGCTCCAGCCTTTATCGTCCTTACCTGTGAATAAAATGATTCTTAAGGTTACACGTGGGCTGCCTTCTAGAGAATGGTTTAAAGCCGACGACACACGATGCTTATTTTCCTGCTGGATTAGAATCTTCCCACCGTATTGTCTGCGATGCTGGCACTGTCACTACTGCAGCTAATACGGTGGCAAGATTCTAATCCAGCTAGCAATCCAGCAGGAAAACAAGCATCGTAGTCGCTGGCTTAACTGGATTTTATCTCGAATTGCATGCCACATAAACGACAGCACAATGATTAACGTATTAAAAATAATTAGAGATAGTGAAATTATTTGTAACGTTAAGAATATTTGAAACTTAATTAATTCTAATCGGTAATTTTCTCAAAAATTACTTTGACTAATATTTGTGAGTTCAGTGTACTTTAAATTACTGTAACGTTACTTAAAATTATTACGTAATTGAACGATTTTGTTTCATTTTGTAAGTTAAAATCTGAGGAATAAGATTATATAACTTAAAATTATGTAAGATTGTGAAAAACATTTGTTATAAACAATTTTTCACAAAAATAGTTGAAGAAAATATTCGAGTTTACTAGAAACCAATTAGAGCTAATAATAGCAAAAATGATTTTTCAGATACTAGTATTAATGTATTTCTTTGTTCATTTAAAATAATTGGGACAAATGAAACGAATAGTTATTATTAAACACGTTGCGGAGAATATTCCAAAACAATTGCAAAAAGAAAAAGATGACACATGACACGACTGTAGACCCTATCCATAAATTTCCGTTGTGTTTGCTAGGCGGCACGCAATCGATTTCCGAATTTCATCAGTTCTGAAAGCATTGACCCGGTTTCCACATGTCCAAGGGTTAAAATACCCTCTTCTTCCAGTATGTTGCACAACCACGGTCGCGCACTTTGCGATCTCTCGGAATCTCTTGGCCGTCGTTTTCTCTCATCCGAGACAATGTATAGAGACAAAGGCAAAGAGACAGAGAAAAAGAGAAATAGAAAGACAGAGAGGCAAAGGGAGAAAGAAAGAGAAAGAGCGAGAAAGAAATATGGTGAAAACGGTATATACGTCTCTCGCCTCCGAATTTCCGAACAAACCAGGGATCTCCGGGGTGTACCGGGTGGCGCATGAATATTTCATCGAGGCCGGATAAACCGCACGATATTTTCCGTAGACGAGGACAAGAAGGAGAGAGACCTAGTAGAGATGGAGAACTTACCCAGCATCTGATCACGCGACACGTCGGCCCGGGCGATTCCAAAGGCTGGATCGGTGTCACTGTGGTATCGATCTATGGTCAGCTCCCAATAGTGTACGCCTCGCGAGAAGCCGACGCTCGAGAGGACCACGCGATGCTCGTAGCCCTCGCAGGATGCGCTCATCGCGTCCTCGGATATGGACACCTCCTGCGGTATGCCGGCTGCGCCGGTGGCCCATGAAAACCACGCCACTGCGAGAGACCAGAGGATACGGTTTGCTGTACAGCTTCGATTAATATTCCGCGGACTCGGATCCGCAAGCACGCTTAACGAACTACACGTTCAGGCACGAACGTTGGGTTATCGAGTGCCGGGTTATTGGGAATTCGACGTCGCAGCCGCACTCGATGTTAATAACGACGTGACGGGATTGTGGAATCTTAATATGAGAAGGAGAATGGGGAGATCTGATTTTCTGTGCGGCTAAATAATTTAAGAATTTGATATGGAAAGTCGACGTGAGCCGACTGCGGAAACTCAATGCAAAAAAGAAGGGATGTTTTATCTTTCGCGGTGTGTTAAATAATTTAAGACTGATATGGAATTTCTTATATAGCGCGATTGTTGAATTGAAGTTTAATATTCAACTCCCGCTTGATTAATATTAAGTTACGATTCGAGAATTCAAAAGAGAAAAAAGTTTTCTCTCTCTTTATTAATATTACATTTGGAAAAATGTGAAGATATTTAAATTTAACATAAAATTTAGTTCTATGAATAACAAAGATTTTAATTCGATTATACATCACAAATAATTTGATTTCTTAAATCGTCGTATCTATTCGTCGTGTTCTATATCTGTCATGTTAGTCGATTCAAGAATTAAAGACAAAATGTTTAATTCGCCACTGAATAATTAGGTAAACATTTCCATTCACAAGAACGATTTTGTTGAAGTATTTATAAATTTAGATACAAATTTGAAAATAATTTTATTAGGCTATCAAAATAATTATATAGAATGCTTAAATATTGATAATGATACTATAAAAAATATTAACATTCTACACTAAAAATTGCTAAATCTTAATATATATATATATTTTTTTTAATAATATTAAGTAAACATTTATTTGCAGTAAATAAATATTTACTAAATAAGAAAAATGATAGCTAAATCAAATTAATGATTCTTAAATATAGATATGTATCAAATAGATACATATTTTATATTTAATAAATATTTACATAGAAGTATTCAAACAAATATTTATTAAAAATTTAATATTTTTTCAATAAATAGTTTAAGGGTCTTACTTAATTATTTTTATGATCCAAACAAATTTTTTTCAGATCTGTATCTAATTAATTTTTAGATACTTCAGCAAAACTGTTCGTTTTCCGTGTAGCAGAATTAATGATAATGAAATGAAATTTTTGGAAGATATCTGTTTTCTTTCGAAACTATAACGCAAAGGTAAAAAGATAAAAATCTCCTCGAAGTCATTTGTAATTGTCGCCCGCATTATTCCGCAAACGCCACACGGATGGGCATTCTATCGCGGCTATTTCTGTGCGTCTACCGTCCATCTCATCGATCACGCGATCGTGCCGTGGAAAAAAAATACGTGCGACTGGAAAATCGACGTCGCTTACGATCGTTCGTCTTCCACGCGACACCGACGCCGATTTTCCAGCCGAGGCCTCTGCGCGTTTCGCCCAGGAAACCGTAAAGAAAAAAAGGATAAAGCTCTCACCCTCGGCGGTCTGAAGGCCGATCAGCTCCGAGTACTCGCCCTCACCGGCGCTGTTAAAGGCCCGCACCCTGGCGTTGTAGAGTGAGTTGAAGTGTAGCCCGTCTACCGTGCAAATGGTCTCGCGGCCACAGTACACCTCCTGCGAATCAGATTTCAAACAGGACACTCGTGAATTTGCGGGTTGCAATTATAACCGGATAACCTACCCTATTAAGAGAGAGAATAATTTTCGCGGAAATTAAGATTTATAGTAGAAAGATTATTTATTTATTTTTTTTAATCTTTACTTATCAGGAAATGCAAGAAAATATTTATAGTATAAAATTCTATAATGATCCATTACTACATCAGGGTTGCCACAGAAATTAAATTTTTTAATTCCCTGATTTTTCCAGGTTTTTTTTCCAGGGGAAAATGGAAAATTTTCCAATATAAAATTTGTAAATCTTAACACATTTAAAGTCAAGAAATTGTAGGAAAGCTTATATTATTAAAAACAATGCAAAAAAGGTTAGTAGCATACTAAAAGTTTGGGTGCAAATTCAAACAAAAAAAAAAAATTTAGTATTGGAAAAAAGAATGCAGTGAAAAAGGGCGATCAAATAAAAATACTGAATAAAATATAAATTTTAATTATTTTATTAAAATCGTTTAGAGGGTGCGAGTTTTTAACGTATTTCACTAAACGTCAGATATAATATTAAAAAATTATAACAATTATCTAGAATAGGAACAGTTTAAGGAAATTGTGAACAAATTTCAAAATTCCAGACTTTTTTACATTTTTCCCTAACTTTTCCCGGTTTTCCAGGTCTGTGACAACCCTGTATATATACCTACCACAGTAATTAAATTCTTTCTACGCTAAAGTAAATATCTATGTCAAACACGTAGTATAACAATAATAATAAGTATTATAATTTTAAAAACCTTTTTTAAATTTTTATATCTTTTTAAATTTTATACCTTTATTTTAAATAGGTTTTTAAAATTATACATAAAATAATAATGAATTAGAAATATGTAAAGATAAAAACAATTACATTAATTTATCTAGAAACATAGAAAAATCAAGAATGCCAACTTCCATTGGGTAAACATGGAGTAATAACAAAGTAAGTTGAAATATCTAACTTGGCTTGAAAACACTCGTTCACTGTGATGAGAGAGTATTGACGTTGCTCGTTTGAGTAGTGGATAAACGAGAATTGTGGATAAAGAAAGGAGTTTACCTGTTATGTCGATTTTCCTCAAAGAAACGTCAAGATAGCATCGATTGATCGATCAACAGATAAACAAGCACGAGATACACTATTAGATTTAACATTGAAATAAAAGTTTCTTGAAACTGATGAAATATATGATACAAAGTCAACAAGTCGGTTACAACTTTTCTTTTCAATACCATTTTTGATACAATTTTATTATTCATTATGTATATGTCTCGATAAAAAAATCGATTTCCAACTAACATTAAATACAAAATAATATAATACAAAATATATGAATAATAGAAAAATAATATAATATCCATAATAATAGATATATGTTTACTAAAATATGTGAAGTTTGGTAATGTTTTCGTATTTTTCTTATCAGAATCAGGAATTAAAATTTTGCATATCTTGCATTTTCTCTAAATAAAATCACACAGAAGATGCGGAATTAACTCCGGATTAGTATGAATCTTCTGGCAAACCCGATCCTTTTCGTCAAAAGAGCCCTCACGATTCCTCCTGCGAGCTCAACGAGCGGCAAGGAAACGGAAACCAGAAACCGGGAAACCCGAGGCATCGTGCCGCGCGAACGAGCTCGATTTAAATATTAAAAGGAGGAGGATGGACCGTGCTATCTCGATGGCCGCCAAGAGGATAGGCGATAGGTCGGACAAGGGACGGTAGAAAGGACGAAGAGAGCGCCGACAACGAGGACGATTTATATTCGTGGTATCGCTCCGTTCGTTAACGAGCACCATATCGCAACGCAGTCGCGCCGGGTGCATTATTAACAAAGCATGAAAATTTAGACGCGCGATTTACAGGCCCGACCTGAAACACGTTTGTGCGAACGAGAATTCATACGCGACATGGCGATACATATTCTCATCGATTTTACTGCGGATTTAGCATTTTATTCCTGCGCGAGTCACTTGAAGAGTGAAATCTTCATGAAAAACGAGAATTAATACAATTTCGTAGTAAAAGTACTTTAATGATGCATCAAAATATATATAAATGCAAAAAGCTCGAATCAATCGTGAGATGAAATTAATATTCGTACACTGTTAAATTTATTCGATTCAAATGTCAAATTATATCCAATTTGGACTATTTGTAATCTATAGATTGTCACTGTTTCTACTGAATATATCATTAATTTAACTAAAATAATGGAGTTATACAATTGAACTCAAGAAAATTAAATTTAACTCAAATTTAGTGTTTACTGAACTTTGAAACTATAACTACAGAAATTAATTGATTTACATTTTGACACATATGGAAGTTATTTATCAAAATGTTATTTAATTGAAGAGATTGAGTTACTATTGTTTCTAACGGTATATATAATATTAAGAAAAAAACAGTCTTTTCATTTGCACATTTAATTTCTATATTTTTATTAACTTAAATATATTTTATTCCGTGTTATATTCGCGTAGCACGTAAATATTTCAAAGAATTAAGTCCAGCAATATTAAAATAATTCCGTGTAAAAATGCTAAAACTTTATGATATCATTCTCTCTTTCACTTTGTGCGATTTTATTTCCCCTTGCGCTGGCGGAAGACAATACCCTATGAAACTCTACGACCGCCAGAAAATTACCTCACATTAATATCGTGGATTATGTGGCAAACGACGGTTCGAACTGCCGTCATTTGATAAAAACTTCTAATGAACGGGACGATATCGCTGAGAGCAATTAATAATTGCCATCGCCCGAGAAGATCGCTCATTTCTCACGTGTAAGCCCGGAATCTTAGAGTTATAGACTTCAATTAACGCTCTCAATACCGAATCTTCATTTACCAGAAGAAGAATTCTACTTCACAAACTGTTTCTCAATTCACGTATGAAATACTAGTTTAGGAAAAGAGAGAGAGAGAGATTCTTGTAAAAACGTACACAAAAAATTTTTTTTTTAATATTTAGGTAGATACAGATCTAAAAATAATTTTTTGTTGAACCATCAAAATATTTATGTACAAAAAACTTAAGTAAAAAGTTTTGACATTTTAGCAATCAACTTGAGCGCCCTGCATTAATTATTTTGATAACCCAACAAAAATATTTTCAGATCTACATCTAACTAAATATTTAAATGCTTCCGTAAAATCGTTCTTTCTGTGTACAATTTCTTCATCGGACAATTAGAGATATTATCACCCACTTAGGATGCCACAAACAGATTAATGTAACGCATTAAACTGCCTTTATTCAGCACGCTAATCTCCAAATTTTTCAAACTCGCACCACGAATTCGCCCCACGAGGCTACCTTTTTAATCCCGACTTTTATGTCTCGCGGCTCACGTGCGCTATTTAGGCTGAATTATTAGCCGTAATCGTTACCGCGTTTCAGGGTGCTCGCTGCCACCCGCGTTTACGATCAATAAAACGTGAAAGACGATGTTTCGAATCCGGTCGAGTAAAGAGACCAACCCGAGAATAAATGTGATGAACGAGCTCGCCGGTCCGGAAACACACTCCGAATGGATACATAGCTAGCCCTTTTATGAAGACCAGTATTCGCGCACGAGTGATTTGTTTCGATTCTTGGTACAACGTGCTGAACGTACAACCCATAACTAGAATCTCTACGAAAAAAATCAACTTTACGGACGATTGGTATCAATATTCATCTCGCGGTGCGCAGAGATAAATTCTCAACAAAGAAGATTTTTATGATCCTGACGTTTTTTCTGATCCCCTTTGCGCTTCGATGTCACGCCGATAGCTGGTATTATCCTTCAGTAAATTGAAAGGCGGGTTTTGTACGTCCCCGTGCAGTTTTATTAAATGCTCGTATCCGGAAATTGATCCGCATATAAGATTCATCTCGATGTCACTACGTGCAGTATGTATTATTACGGGACGGAAATTGTAGCAATATAAAATTTGAAACGAAGCTGAACGACAGCGACAAAATTGTATTCACATGGTTACTCGTGCGTGTATATCATAATCTAGAAATGAATGACAGACAAATATTTAATACAATAATATCATAAAGTTTTCACAAATTTTACTCAAATTGGATAACAGAATAATAACTGTTGAATCAGGAAGATCAAAAGAATATTTTTAGTTTCTAAAGGATCCTGGCAACCAATTTTGCATACGTGCAAATATGCAATCTAATTAAAGATTAAAAAAAAATAGCTTAAAAGAAAGCTACCGTAGAATTTTAACGAATGTATTTCACAGGCGGACTTACATCTCTTTTCCCTTGGGTTACACTATCACGTTTAGTTCAACATACACAACAAATCTTTTAGAGTTTCCTGCCACGTTCGTACAACTCCTCTTTTTTTTTTACTATTTTTACGTTAAAGTAACTTTCTTTTGCTCGAGCGTGAGGAAACCTCGTCTTAACTTTTCGGGAGCGCGAAACGGACGAACAGTTTTTCAGTTCAATAAAATTAGTATCACTACATTTTTAATAACATTTTTTACTAAATTGTGTGAACTTTCATACAAAAATGAGTGGGGAAGTGCGAACACTTTAATGGAGAAGTTTAATTTAAAGCCGATAACTATTTATTAATTACACAAGTCTTCATTCAAAAGGTATAGCTATTTGACTTTAAACTACAATAATTAACATCCATGTATTATCAATGTAAACTATAATTTTAAACAAAAATAAATCTCCGTTTGGAATTATCTGCCGCACGCAGGCACCGAGTGGGTTTTGGTTTTTTGTTTAAAATGATAATTTATATTGAATATGAATGTTAATTATATTGTAATTTAAAGTGAAATAATTGTTGAATAAAAACTTCTATAATTAATAAATAATTGTCAGCTTTATTTAACTTTTCCCTTAGTTATTCGCAGTAGCTACATTTTTTCCTTACATCAAAAAAATGGAAACATGTAATGATATTTATCTTAAACATCATGTGCCTTTTTATGTCATATTATGTGTTATATTGTGGTACTGATTGTATATCAGATTATAGCTAAGTGTGAGAAAAATGAGAGAATACCACTACTCTAATATACTACAATAGTATTGTTCGCGTTTAATATCGTTCCCATGTTCCCGATTCCCCCCTCCATTCCTCTAACGCGATCAGTAAATATTCTTTTCAAATCAATGAAGAGAAAAATAAATCTATTTTCGGTTAAAGCGGATCTTAATGTTTAAATATTTCAGAGTAAAATAAACATATCCAATTTTTTCAAATATTGCCATTTCTCTGGAAATATGTATAATATATAAATTCACATCGAAATATTCAAGCACTAACATCTCTTTTGACCGATAATAGGATTTCTCTTATTTAATTGGATTTATGCTCATCCGTCTAATTTAAAATTATAATTATTATTGCAATTTCTCTTTTTAATTCGAATCCCTTTAAAAGTAGAAAAAATAAATTCTTATCCGTTCAGATAATCTGTTTTTCTATGCCGCTTTTAAAAGAAATCGTATTAAAAAGAGAAAAGTTGTGAGATACTCGGAAAAAATATTTACTATTGCAAGAAAATCTACGTTGCTTTCGAGATTTCTGTGGAAGAAATAACAGACGTCAAATATTATTTAATGCCAGCGAGAGTCTTTCTTTCTCCGTGTCATCTCGTCCGCGCCAGATCGAAGGACAATTCTACGAAAGACATCGTGAGAACGTCGAAGTGTCCCATTGTTGGACAAAGTCGTATCGCCGTCGTCGCGGGATGATACGGTCGAAGAAGAGCACGGTAAAGAAACACCGGAACCGGACGTCGCGTCGACAAAGAAACGAGAACGACAGAGGATCCCGACGAGTGAAGTGTCATCGAAGAATTCGTGGGCGATCTCAAGAAAGCCTCGAGATCCGAGCCTGGCGTTCAATAGCCATCTCTCCCGACACGTACGGGGAGTACAATTTCTTCAGGATATATGAGAGTGTTTACTCACCCTAAACTCCCCGCCGCAGCCATCATCCAGCTCCAAGAGGTATCCCTCGATGGCGGGGCCTCTCTGTCCAGCGCAGCCCATAATTCCGTGGCCAGGAGGCGGCTGCCAGGCAACGGTGACGCTGTTGTTCTCGGCGCTACACTCCTCGGGGATCAGTAAAGGAGCTCCGGGTGCTGGAAATGCATACGTCGAGACGATTTAAAGGGCCGTCTGTATAAATCGTAAGCGCAGAACGCAGTTCGCACACGCATTTGCGACAGCCAATCAGAAGTGTCAATAGTACTAATAACAGCTTTTGATTGGCTGTCGCAAATGTGTTTGCGAACTGCGTTCTGCGTTTGTGACTTATGTAGATTGTAGACGGACCTTAACAGCGCTTTGCGTTATTGCAATCGACAGCGTTGCGTGGAAACGCGGCAGTAAAGTAATGAGCTAGATTTAATGTCTTTCGGGTGTGCGTGACTTTAAGCCCAAGGGTGTTGTGAAGTCAATAGCAACAACGATAATCGCAGTAACGTTCGCGATAATTCGAGTTATCATATAGATATTAAAGTTATTATATTAATTATGATATTAAATACATGAACTCTCTAAATTCTTTGAAGTGGAATCTCACTCTATAGAGAGAAAATTGAGTTAATCTTGAAAAAGAGTGGAATTTTCAATCTTTACAAGTGAGAGAGGTTTCACTTTTTGCAGTGAGATTTAAAAGTTTTAGAGATAAAATAAATGAAAATTTCAATTCTTCTCGATTAACTTGAAATAAAACCCTTCGTTTGTTAATGTAACGAACTCCGCTCGCGTGATGGAAAAGTAGATAGGGTTGCTTTGAAGTTTCGTAAAAATAAAGTTATAAGCAGACTATAAATCAGTTGTTGTACTTGCTTAAGGACGGAAGCTTCCAATACTGAAATTTTCTACTTCGGTAAAACTTTGTACACACTTAAGAAGTTTCTCGAGTAAGTAACTAAACATTTCGTATTTTCGTAAGGATTGAGGTAAAGGCATTTAACTTTGGAGATTTTGAGCCAACGAAGTTTGCTTGTAAATCATTTTACAAGCGAATAAGCTTATAAATAAGCAGAAAGTTGTAAATGCAAATAGATTAAAATGTAATCAATAGAAAAAAGAAAAATTCCTGATAAAATTATAATGCGCACGTTCATGTTTATAGTATGTTCATGTATGTGTAATAACGCACCTTTGTACAAGTAATAAACTTATACATACTCTTCAAATTTTTTGAAGTGAAATTCAAAAGATTGAAAATTTAACCAGTCTTGGAAAAAGAGTGAAAATATTTTTACTTTTAAACAAGAATAGCAGATTTTCACTCTTTAGGAATAAGATTTAATTCTTTTGGAGTGAAAATCACTCTAAGGAATAAAGTCTCGTTCCAAAAAAAGAAGATATCATTCCTTTGGAGTAAATCTCACTCCAAAATAGTAAAATCTTACTCTAAAAGAATGCCACTTTTGTTCAAGAGTGAAAAGTTTCACTCTTTTTTTCAAGACTGACTCAATTTTCACTCCAAAAGATTTAGACAGTATATATAAAAGCATTAATTAAAAATACTATGAAAAAAATAAAACAGATTCACAGATAGACGATTTCATTCGACAGTAAGTTTTAATTACCGCTAGCCGACTTCAATACGATATGATTTGAAACTGCGCTGGGTATTTGGCTACAATCCGATTTGCTTCGAAGCTGGCTTGCCGGTGATGACCTTCGGTGGTAATAATTTTACGATTTAAACAGGCTTCGGACTGCCGAATTTGTCGCGAGTTTCCTAACGACGGACGAAACTTGGTTGTTGCCGCAGCGACCACAATAGTATTCGATTCTGATTGTCTAAGGTACAAGTTAAAGCCGCGGAAATTACTGTGCGCTATTCAGATTTCTGTCCCACAGAAATGTACTGAGCTGTCAATGCAGAGCACCATATCTCAATTTGTTAAGTCGATTGGAAAATACGTATAACTTTCTCAACAAAACGCTAAAATCAAACTGATCATGTTGGAACTTAAAATAAAATTAACAGCCAACATTAATTTCTTTTGGAGCTGCAATATTGTGTATAAAAGAAGTAATTCATTTAACTCTGTAATTTGAGCACACGCGAAATTTCACTCTCAAATTTCTCCGAAATAAAAAGGAGGTCCGGTTTTTGTATTGCTAAGTTATACATTTTTAAATAAATTTCCATTTTTTCCTCGTTTTTGCTCAAATTTCAATTTTTATTAAATAAACATTTGGAACACAATAAATAGGAAATAAATGTCCTAAATAGTCAAGCTGGATTTTTAATTATTAAATAATTCGATGTAAATTTATATACTACATATCCAATCCTGCAAACTGCACGTTGAATTTAATTTTCAGTTTTGAAACGCAATCCTAATAGAATTAGAGTAGTAATATCACAAATTAAATTGACAAGCTATTTAATAATATTGTAGGGACCAGCGAAAAAATTAACGAAGCTTATTGAGATTTGAAAACTCGGGAGCCCTCGTTTTCAATCCTAGCACTCAGCTACGCCAATGACGCTCCGCTGCTGTCATACTTATTCCGGTCGTCTATATATACTTTTAAATGGCCTTACGGTTCTCCTTATTTTCCTACAATATTGATGCTTATAAACATCTTAGAAAGATTTTAAAATAATTTAATGCTGGTATAAGCATTCCTTACAAAGATCTTAATAATAAGAACATTACTTGATAATGTAATAGAGATGTTGAAAAGTAATCCTGAATTTTTCTATTTTTTGGAAGCTTGGAACTGTAAAAAAAACTTAAGCTGGACAAAAAAGACCCAGATTGCAGAGAAGGGAATTAAAAAAAAGAATGTTTCAAATGTCCAAACATCTTTCGTTCAAAATGAGGCATTGCATTAAAATGCTAACGCGCATAGATACATATGTTTCCTCTCTTACGGGAAATTACATTAATTTATTTGATAGATGTAGACAAATCTGCGTTGCTTTTACCGTAAAAGAGCGATCGTTCAGAGCGATACTGATCACTTTTGACCGGGCGTTCATTACGTAAATGTTAGGAATAGTCCACTTTCAAGAGCGTTAACACGCGCTGTAGGCGGTCGTTGATGCTTCTACATGCAATTATCTGGCTTTCAGTGGAAGCTCGCCGCGTCGCGACGCAGGTCGTCGGTTAACTCGTTGGCATGCTAATAAACCAAAAGCATTTCCTCTCAGTTCGCGCTGCCCATTGGCGACGTGCGGTTTCGCGCAAACTTATCTCTCGAAAACGCTGTTGACTCGACCGGGTGACCGTCGACTTCCTGTCCGTTTCGGTCGTCGATTCCGGATGCGCCGACAGCATAATCCGATCGGATGGTCACCACCGCGACCGAGGAGTAAACACACGTCAAAAAGGCGAAAGACGGGAAAGGCCAAGGCACGGCAAATACGTCGCGATGTGCAGTCGGATAAAAAGAGACGTGTCCTGAAAGTTTACCGTACCGTTTTTGCCATGTCGGTAGATGATACTGTTGAATCATAAAAACCGCGATCAAGCTTTTTGACAAAATTATTTTATACAGGCCTCATCTGTATCGCATTACTTTTTTTTAGTGGATGCGTTCGGCAAACGAAACAGTTCAGTGAGCACTTAAGCCAGGAATACATAGAAAAATGTAAGACAGTGAGACGTAAGCAATAGACAAATCGATCAATCACGATAAAGAACTACTTTATGTTCTTTACTGTGATTGGCCAATTCGTTTACTGCTTAAGTATTATTGTCTTACGTCTTTTAATATGTGTCTAGCTTTAGTGATAATTTATTTTCATACGTCTGTTGAATGTAACTAATTTCTTTGGTCAATTGAAGATCGATTTTTATTTTATACTCTTTGCATATATATTTACAATTAATCTACAATAGGAATAATATCGCTCAATTTCAATTGTAAATCAGAAAGAAAATTTGCTTTCTATAATAAATAAAAAGATAAACGAGTCGGTGATCGAGTGATTGGAATCGTGATAACAGCGTATAGAAATATATTTTTTTCAGGGCGAAAAGAGGAACTTCAATGGCGTCCCATACATTCATACAGATGAAAAAATATTCTCTTCCATAATTTTCTGGAATAAAAGCCGTGGAAGCTATGATTCCACACAAAACTAATCACCTTTCCGATTTCGGACGAAATTGACTCGTGAATTCAATGATGTACGAAACATAATACACTTTTTCAATATATATGATGTAGAAAAAAATCGCATTTTTCTGTACAAAAGAGATATCTTTTATACACACGAAAATATCATTTCACGCAGGAGATTAAAAAATGCAATTTTTATATGCAACTAGGAAGATTTAAACAAACGTACCGCAATACTTAAAAAGAAATAAAAAATAATCCATGATGCGTCAACACGAGATTCAATTTTGTTTCCAAATATTGAATGTTTTGTTATATCGCGACACGAAAAGACTGTAATAGGAAAAGGATTAAACAGCACATTGTGTTGTAAAATTATAGTTTAAATTCAGATTTGAGAAATCACTTAGGTATAATTGATGGGGAGCGAATCTCGAGAGAGGAATATCACAAAATTTATTAACTCTATTTTATATGTATAAACAGACGCAGAACACTAAGAATAATGATGTTCCACCTACTTGCAGCGTCAAGGAAGACTTAACATGTGTATGTATAATTAACTGGCTTCATGCCTGACATGCGAATCGTCACGGAGAGTTCAGCATATCCTTGGAGAGAGCCGTTCCGCTCTACAGCACGAGAGCTCTAAGGTCCCTGCGGTATTCGCATTATGAAATTAGGCTAATGGCACCAGCGTTACATAACTATGTTCTACGTCAAACCGCCAGAGCTTTAATGCAAATTAAGATCGTCTTGAGAAACATTTATCATTTTGTATTTTCATTTCCAATGGCAAACAAAAAGGAAACATTACTTTTCATTTGAACACGTCGAACAAGTAGGAAGTTACAAATAACGATGCTCGTTCATTTAACTCAGGAATAATCACCTGATTTTTCCTATATAAACAGTTACCTGCACTGAAAGAAAAGATTGGTTGCTGCAACAAATTGGATGATTAAATATGGCATAGCATTTTTAATTGGCTGTAGCAACCAATTTTTGATTGAGTTAGCCAATCGAAATCTTATACTGA